AGATTTCCATTGGCGTCACAGTGGGTAAATTTATCGATATGCATGGTGAATGTCATATTTTTATTAGATTTAACTATTGTAATAACAACTTTTTTATCCTCTGTGTGATTTTTGTATCTAGCTTAGTTTTTGAGGAAACAATGAAAATTTGATTTGACTCCAAATTTTAATGTAGGTGTTTTCTCAGTCTCCATCCATACTGAATTTTGGCACCATGAAAGCTTATACAGGGGGGTTATAAATAAAAACAATTGATACTTCCAACTTCAACAACTTGTATCTCAAAAATGGAGCAAGCTAGGACACATGTTTATGTGAACTTTATTTGCTAGAATGTAACAAGGCAACATATCTAATTTTTTTCGGTGTTATTTTGAAACACCCTGTATAAAAAAGTGGAAGGTCCCCAAATTTTGTACGGTGTTCTATTGAGGTCAAAGGATTAGTGTGTGTTGCATCTCCCACCAGGCAAATGGCTCTTCTCTGGATGAAATCTAAGAACATCAGCATATGTTTGCGTGCGAACCCCATATGAGTTGCTCTAGAGATGTATAGAAATTTAACTGGTGGGCTCACTCTTCAATTGTTTCGTCAGACTAACTCTCGATATGGAACAATTGCAAGCGAGTTTTGGACGTGGGGTTCAGGTATTTGACGATAGAGGCGCCATAATCAGAAAATCGTTCAAAACCTTGGTTCTGTGAGGGATGAATCTATTTCCATCATTGTTCTGTGGTCGAATTCCGGTGTTTTAATCCTGTAATTGTAATAGTTGTTCAATAGTGTTTAATTCTTTAATTGTTGTTTAGTAGGTTTGTTGTTTGTTTGGTTTATAGTGTTTAGTTTTTATATTTCATCATGGACTGGCGTTGCTGCAATATATGCGGATCGTATAAAAATCTGCAACTCCGTATGTTTTCTGTACCAAAAGTAAGTTCGAATTCAACTAACTAACATTATAAGATATCATTCAACATTAAAGTACAGACTTTTAGAAAGATGCCACTAATTGGTGATTATTTTATAAATCAATACTGTGCTCAACATTTTCATTCAAATTTCAATTTGAAATAGAAGCAAGAAATCTTTTTTGTAGCCGATTTTAATAAGCTTCACTTCTTTCATGACATGAATCTATTTAAAGCATGAAATTTGATGATTTTCCTCTTAGAAGATTGTATCAACTAATGAAATAGACCAATATCGAAAATCATAATACACAGATATGGTATTAGGTATTATACACAAAATTTAGAAACTACGGAACACGTCCCTAACGAACACTTGACCCCAATCTCAAAAATAACCATTTTTTCAGCTCGAGAATATTTTTGACATATTGACATTTCGATCCTTAGATCAAAAATCAGTTCACTGCTCTGATCCAAATCATATACGTATCCAAATATTTATCGATCGGTAATATGTTTCCTGTAAATATGGATTGTAACCAGGATGAGCTAGCGAGATTTACCCACGTCAAGTATGTTTATCAAAGGTTTATCAGAGTAGGCGCCATCGAGAAACTTGCAAACGAGCTTGCAAACGACCTTCAATAGGGAGCAAGCGCACCAGTTAAATTTCTATACATCTCTGTTGTTCTATTGGATTCAAATTCCATTTTAGATAAGAATAAATTTGAAAAAAAAAACAACTTCTCAATATTCCAAGAGTATGATTAGACATTCTTGAATGAGACTTTCATCATATTTATGTGCAGATACATTTTGATTGATTTTGAATGAACAATCATATCCCTGTGATCTGTTATGCAGGTCAGATACACAGGAAACAAACAATTGGAGTCTTCCTGTTCCAGGCAATGTTTATGTGTGTGTGTTGGAGTCGAGAGTGAGACATACGTGCCTCTATTGTTTTTCGGAAGAAAAAATACAGTACACAAACAAGAATTAATCAATTTATTTTCATATGTCAATCAAAGTGATGAACACTCGATGAATACTTTTCTTATTCAAAAATAAAAACGCTCACTTTTGATGAATTAAAAATTGAAGAAATAGATATTTTCTGTTGGATATCAAGATTTTTTGTTTTGTAACGTTAGTGAAAAATAAACGAATATTGTATCTGTCAATCAGTATGTAATATAATTTCACTTTCTTTACCCTGCATTTTTCTATTAAATAACAGGTTATGGGCCCAGCATGCTTCCTTTTGATTATCGCCCTATATGTCGACGATTTGATAAAAAAATATAGATAAATATATCACAGAAATTATCAACGGAATTGTGTCCAAAATCCGAAGAAGACAGGAACGAAATGGCGAAAACTACCTACAGAAGTCTTGTTGGAAAATTAATGTATCTTGCAGTTTCAACCAGACCAGATATTGTTTACACTGCAAGTAAGTGTTTTGAGTCAATACAATCAAAACTACGGACGAGAGCATTGGATAGCAGCGAAGCGTTTTTTACGATATTTGAAGAAAACACAAGATGTTGGGCTTATTTTCAAAAGAAGTGGTAAACCATTGGTTGGATATGCTGATGCAGATTAGGGTGCTGATTTGGACGACAGAAGATCCTACACAGGGTATATGTACATTATGGCAGCTGCTGCGATAAGTTGGTCATCTCGTAAACAAAAACAGTAGCATTATACAGCACAGAAGCAGAGTATATGGCTCTTACAGAAGCATCAAGAGAGGCTATTTACTCAAGAAGATTCTTGAATGAAATAGTTGTGGAGCTGTAAACCACAACTATTTTCAGTGATAATCAAGGTGCTGGATACATGGTGAAGAATTCAGTTTTTCATGGAAGAACCAAGCATGTAGATATCAGGCACCATTTATCAGAGAAGTTGTCGAGCAGAAAGAAATTCAGGTTGGATACATTTCAACGCATGATATGCCTGCTCAATATGTCATTGACAAAAGGCTTGGCAACTCAAAAGCATCAGAAATTTTGTTGAGCTAAAGTTGAACTTTAGTTCCTAGGAGCTAACGTTGAACTTTAGCTCCTAGGAACTAGAAATATTGTACAAGACGTCATCAAGAATAAACAATATTGTTACGGTTGGTTATTTGGGTTGGGACGCACACCTGATTTGTTTTTTTTTGTCAAAAATCTCAATTCTGAACCACCCTGTATTTATTTCAGTAAATATCAATTGGTAGTACATAAAAGGTTAATATAGGGACATTAAAACCGTTTTGATCAATTATGAATAGTTTCGACACAAAAAATTCTTTAAGTTGAGATATTTCAATTTTTCACACCCTATATCTTTGTAATCATTCCCGCTAGACCCCAAGTGTGATAGATCGATGGAATCAGCTCTTCAGGAAAAATCTGGAAAATAATCAAAGTTGTTGCTACTTTTCAACATAAGCGGCAACGCGGCAATGCTGAGAATATATTGAGTATAGATAGAACACAACTAATTATCTAAGACACAAAATTTTCAGAATAATCCTGAGTTGCGTTCTCCAGAAACGTCTAATGTGCCATCCACCGTGAATCACCCTGTATATATCGATAATATCTGTCCAGTCCTACGTCAAATCTGTCCAATCCATGTACAGGGTCATTCCGTATATTTAAACAGCTTCTACAGGGTTCATCATTGAAGATAGAGAAAAACTTCGAATGTGAAAGTTGTAGGGTTTGTTCTGAACATCCAGAAAATTATACCAGATGAAACAATTGAATATCGCTGATATAAGATATAGGTACCAACTTCGTTATTTTCAATGAAACACCCTATATATTTTTCGAAAAAATTAAAGATCTTTTCTTCCTGATTTCAAAAATATATTGGTCATTGATATTTGGGTCAGCTGTTATCGAAATATTCGAGGTCGAACATTTTAGATTTCACCAAATCGCAACTGCCATGAAAGAAAAAAAAACGCACTTTTATAACTGAAGGAGATGTAATTTCACAGATGTTCGATGTGACCACCGTTGTTTTGTATACATTTTCTTTAGTCCTTATCCAATTTATTTATCGAATTGCAAATGGAGTTGGAGTGATGATTGTTCAATATTCCATTCCAATAGAATAGAATAGAATAGAAATATTATATTGCTTCCATGTAAATATATACATATAGCAAGGGTTTAGCTTGCGGCAGAAGAAAAAATATAATAAGTGTAACTTAATATGATAGTAGTGTTCTCCTAATTGCTAGTGGTTATAGTATAATCCTACTAATTTTTGTACAATGTTTAACAGAGAAAAAAAAAAGATACATTAGCTAAATATAAATATGAAGGTACCTAACATAATGTGAATATAAGCCCATACAAAAAAGAAAAAAACAAAAAAACTATTCATTCCAGATGAATGAATATTCCATTCCAAAATTCTTCCTCTCAAATCAGCCAAATTTCTACTTCTTTCCTTATACACTCCATTCTTCAAATAGCCCCATCGGAAGTTATCCAAAGGTGTTGAATCTGGACTGTTCGGAGGCCATTCCACTGTTCCAAATTTTCCGATCCACGTTTGATAACGATCTATACTGCCTGAGTGGGAGGTTTTCCAACAGATCTTCAATTTCATTGTTTAAAAACTGCAAATACCTATCTCCTGCTATAGAACCCTCAAAGGAAGTTGGTCCAATCACTTGGGTTTTCAAAATACCACACCAGACATTGAGGGATTTGCGACCCTGGTGCTGAATCTCTTCGTACCCATGTGGATTTGGTGAAATCAAATTAAAAGAAAATCTAAAATGTTCAACCTCGAATATCTCGAAAACGGCTGAACCAAATATCAATGACCAATATAAAAATATATAGGCTGTTCCATTGATAATAACGAAGTTGGTACCCATTTCTTATATCGATAGCGATACTTATACATTTGTTTCATCTGGTATAATTTTCTGGAGGTTCAGAACAAACCCTACAAGTTTTGCATTCGAAGTTTTTCTCTATCTTCAATGATAAACCCTGTAGAAGCTGTTTAAATATACGGAATGACCCTGTACGTTTTTGGGAGTCTTCTCCGACTTTACCACAACTTTACCTCCAAATAAACGGGATCGTCCGGCTCGAAGTCCGACCCCACGCGATAGAAGGTGACGTTGACGTGGGGCAGCGAGTGCAGCAGCCGCGCCAGCAGCGGGTGGCTGTACGCGTCGTCCGCGGGCGACGACGGCCCGCCCATGCCCGCCCTCGGTGCGCCCTTCCGCCCGCGCGCCGCTGGATCGGGAAGCGGCTCTCGTGTCGCCTGGCCGACGGTGGTCACGTCATCGCGTGACGGGGATGGGGACGGGGGCGGCGCTTCTCATCGGTTAGACGCTGAAAAGAGACAGAATTAATGGGAAATACTGTCTGTACGTTAATCGAGGAGGTGGTACATTCATTATTCCAGATTTTTTGGGATTTTCTCTCCTCGTTTCTATAAAATAAAAATATGAATATTATATCAATACAATTGGTGACGTTGGCAATCAAATGAGTTACAGGATGTTTTTTTTTTCATGTTCTGGTCCCCACGAAAACGGGTATCCAATAATGTTCAGAGAACATCGTGAGAACCAAGGGAAATAAGGTAGGATTTGGTGTTCTTCTTGAATTTCTGGAGGTTATATGCCTCGGGGAACACCTCCTTTGGCAATGTGTTCCAGAGCCTCGCTGTTCGTTGGATGAACGAGTCATTGGAAAGAGATGTTCTGCAGGTCTCCAAAGTGACCACGAAGGGGTGCGAAGCCTCAACTCGAAGGGTTAATCTCGCGGGGACTGCCAAGGGAGGAACAATTGTTGATATTTCAGAAGAGCATCGTCCATGAAAATATCTATAAAATAGAGCCAGATCGCCAACTTTTCTACGGTGTTCCAGAGAAGTGAGTGAGTTTATGAGCGAGGCATCACTCACGAGACGAATTGCCCTTTTTTGTACAGAATCCAACAGTTTAAGGGTATGTTTGGGTGCTGCACTCCAAATATGGAAACAGTATTCCAGGACAGGTCGGATCTGTGCCTTATAGATCATAAGCAGCTGACTGGAAGTGAAATAACTCCTGGCCCGAAACATAAAACCAAGTTTTTGGGATTCACTTTTAGCAATTGATCTCACGTGATTTTCCCAAGAAAGGTTATTGCTGATAGTAATACCAAGCATCGAAATGGATGTCTTCAAAGGTTTGGTTACTCCTGACATGCTTATGTTTGGCACAGTGAGATCGGCTTTTCTAGAGTAGAGGCATGCTTGTGTTTTGTTTGCATTGAAATCTACCAAGTTATTGGATCCCCATTCGAGTATTTTTGCTAAGTCCATATTTATGTTGTCAACATTTCTCCCTCGTTTGTTTCTGATTTGCCTGGCTGGTATTGGCGCCCTGGAAGAGAAGGCGGTATGGAGGGTACTATCATCTGCGAAGCTGTGTACTGGACATGAAGTTGCTTCCAACAAATCGTTGATATGGAGTAGAAATAGTGTTGGCGCTAGAATTGATCCTTGCGGAACACCATGGTAAGAGAGTCAGATGAAACTCCGTCGACCACTACATGAAGAGACCTGTTCGAGAGAAAACTTGCTAACAGAGAACATGGTTGGGGAGGCAAGCCATAAGATGGAAGCTTGGCGAGGAGTCCATGGTGCCAGACTCGATCGAATGCTTTGGAGATATCAAGTGCCACAGCTAAGGTTTCACAATATTTGTCAAGAGATTGCTGCCATATATGTGAGACGTAAGAGAGCAGGTCACCAGTTGATCTCTGATGACGGAAGCTATATTGCCTATCGTTGATAATGCCTGAATGTTCCAGGTATTTCATGAGCTCGATGTTGATAGCTTTCTCCATGATTTCATAAATTAATCTTGAATTTACCATTTTCATTTTAAGATTTCGGTAGTGAATACCATGTTCTATCTATATCAACTGAACAGAAAGCAATGCTATTGTCTCCGTTCAGAAGAATGCTAGCAGATTTCTTGATTTTTCTCTTATATTTGTTATCTTCTTCTCCAATGATTTTATTATTGATAAACCTAGAATATCAAGACTAAGAGATTCTAGGAAAATTTCGTGAATCGATTGTCAGCTGATGCAAGATAGACTGTTTCGACTTGCCATAAGTCTCATCAGTTGCACTGGCCAGCTGACAATCGATTCACGAAGGGTACCTCCATATATTAAGCCGTATAAAGAAGAACAATCGTCAAACAATTGTATTTATAGTATACCTTGTGTATGTGAAAAGTTTTATACAGGTTAAACCAAGAGACCTCTTTCAGTAAGGACGATGGAACATATAAGTACAATATAAAGAAAAGACACATCGACAAATCGAAACTAGCTGAACATATCCTTACTGAAGACAACATATGGCAAAAGGGAATGATATTAAAATCATAGGCAAAGATGATAACAACCAGAAAAGAAAAATCAAGGAATCTGCTTGCATTCTTCTGAACGGAGTCAATAGCATTGCTTCCTGTTGAAAGAATAAAAAATAGGTGGTAATTGTAAGTAAAAAATTTTGATAGCAAGTAAAAATAAAGGAATGAAAGGGGAATTGGAGCAGGCAATATGGAAAATAAGGGTATGGAAGGAAAATGAGGAAAATACTAGAAGTTAATCGTGGAGTCGAAGTCGAATAATAGAAAAGTCAGTATCTGTAGTGTAAAGTGTTTGTTTTTTATTTTTCTAGTTATTCGTTATTGATTCATAATAATCATACATAAGTCATATCATATTATATTATATCAGTGACATCCACATAAATCTTAGCGCACAAATAGAAGATATACATATATATGAATTATCACAAAATGATTCACGACAAGTCGGTATCTTCTATGCGGTGATATTACCTACTTCCTATGATTCACCCACAGAACACATCCTCTCACATTATGGTCTTATTTTTATTTATCATCTCTGTTAAACGTTGAACAGATGTTTTTATCTAGTTATCTGTGATGGGTATCACATGACATTCGACTGTAATTTGAGACTCTTGACATTAACGACGAAGACATTAAATATTTGGCCGACCCAAATCTGAATGATACTGAAGCATCCACATCAATTTTATGCACTTCAGGGAATAAAAGGATACTTTCAATTCCTCATTTGAGGGGCTACATCGGCACTTTAAATCCCCCAGGGATTGAAAGTAAACACAGTTTTTTTTTCAAACGCTATAGCAACGCTTCTAAGGCACATACACTTTTCGATGTCAAGAACAATATGATAATCACCCGAGTAATCACCCAATTAACCAGCTGAGTTGACATTTTGAAACTAGAGTACGGTGGGTACGAGAGGATTGTCCTTAATTTTTTTCTTGATTATTTTATTTTTAAATTAATACTCAAAGCTCAAAGTCACTTCCACAAATGTTCATAATTAACGAAACTTTCAGATAACGAGAGAAAAACAACTACTTTCCTGGCTATATGCCACGCAGAACATTGAATTACATCCTCCCGAAATCTATGCAATGATTCGTATAGACGAATAAAATTGCAAGTGTTTCCTTCCGCAATGCTGAATTGTGCTTAAATTGTTCAGGAACGCTTGACTACCTACAGACCACCAGTTTCGTTCATTTATGGAAATTACTTTGAGCTTTGAGTATTTATTCAACATTTTATTCCACTTTAAGCATTTTGGCTTTTTCTTAGTTTCATTTTTTGTTTTCCACTCCGGATAAGTGCATTATAGTATACAGTGCGATACAATTTTAATAGCGGATACACAGAAACCATCTGCGAATCGTCCCGAATGCGCGCGCATATATCAATACAGATCTGCAGGTCCCAGGTTCGATTCGCTATGAACTTAATCTTTTTTTAACAACTTTTTTTCACCAATGTATCTTTACTTCATTCTGGTTTAGCTTCCTCAAAAAATATCGAATGTCGAATAGGTTAGTGCGTTTAGGATAAACAGTCTCATTTTATTCAATTTTGTTGAAAAACTTGACTTATCATTGATCAATGTGTATTTACTTCATTCTGGTTTTCCTTCCTCAAAAAATATTGCAATTAGGAATAGGTTAGTTTGTTGAGGATAAATAGACTCAATCCATTTAATTTTGTTGAATACTATATTTTTATATGATTGAAATTTTCCACTTCATCCTATTTTCTTTTCTCGAACAGATTCGGATTCAATCACGATTCATTTTGAATGCACCGCCATAGCTAGAATCGTTCTGATTGGTTCATACACTCGGGACGATTTGCAGATAGTTTCTGTGTATCCGCTAGTTACAATTTTGACCCTACATACCGTGTACTAGTATTATTTTGTATTCCGTTGGTATGTATGTACAATGTACATACCAACTGGCCATCGACCTCACGAGAAGTCGTTCAGCCCATGTGTGTTCTGTGTAGGCTTTGTTACTAACTCCATACGCAACAGCGAATCTTGGGGAATCAACCGCGGCCGGGGCAACGAAAATTATAATTAATACCTCGTTTCATGAATAAAAATTCTTTGCTCTGCCGGGGATTCGAACATAGCAACCTTTCAGTGTTCTGAATACTAGTCGTCTTATCAACTTTTTCAAGTAACTTTTTTCGGTATCTCCAACGCGAAGCAAAATATCGAGAATTTGCGTTTTTCAGTAGGCATTGAGAAAAATGCGGCCTATAAAGATCAACGTCTGTACCAAAAATCAAATCACTGCTATCAAAAATGACTGAAATACAAAGGTGTCTTCATCTTAAGTGTCTCACACTGTATAAACCAGGGGACTTATGGTATTTGCTAACCCTAAGCAAAACTTTTCGCAACCGACACAAAAGTCGTCAATTTTAATACCAAAATTAGCACTTGAATTGAAATTTCTATTATTGCTCCAAACATAGGTATGTTCCTAGGCAACACATTTAGTTCTAAGTAGAACTTTAGCTCCTAAGAACTAAAAAGGATGTACTAGAGAAGAATCAACAACATTGTTACGGTTGGTTATTTGGGTTGGGACGCATACCTGATTTGTTTCCGATTTCGGCAGAATTATTGTTAAGTTTTTGATCCTGATAAAACAATCTACTATTATTGCATTGCATTTTTTGCTTACTTTTTTAATCACTAACAATGTAGAAAATAATGAAATGAGGCTTATCTCTGACGTATATTCATCTGCTCTATCAAACAAAGGAAACAATTGGCAATTGTTCGCCATTATTTGCAAGATGAATAATA